AGAACACTGGAGAATATCTGGAGACATAAAACCAGCAATTTGAACTATTGACTTTGAAACCTGACATCTAAGAAAGTTGTGATATTCTGTGTGACCTTGGATAAACCACCTAATGTCTCCCTGGTCTCCGTGCCGGCATCTGAGATAGTAAGCCAGACATCAGTCGTTGATATCTGTGTCCTCAGCACCTGGGAGAAGTAATGAGCTGGTGGTGGTAAAATAGGGCTTGGAGTGAAGGACCTCTCCTAGGAAGGCTTACTGTTGTAATGCTTCTTTCTTAGCATCCTTTTCCCACATAGCATGCTTTCTTTCAGGTCCTCATTTTATTATCCTCATTTTACATATACCTGCAGTATTATTTAATATCACCACATTGGTGCCTATTTACTTATCTTTTTGAAAACCTGGATATATCACAGATTAATAGTTTCACAGAGTTATTAATAAGCACTCGGGACTGTACATCCAACAGAGAGCTAAATTGGCTAAATATTACTCACCAAGCATTTATATGAAATATGGTGTCATCCTACAACCCTCAAGTGTAAAAATTAATATGAAATTTCAGTTTAAACTGCAGTTTTGTTATCTCAAACAAGTATCATGTCAAAAATGAAATTTTGTTACAGGAGCTATTCTAGATAATTAAGAAATGAAACCTGAGTTCTGAAAAAAAAAATCTAAAATCCACATTTAGTTTTATACTTGGAAGTACATTATAAATGAGATGGTACATGTATAGTTATAGGTTTAATCAGCAGTTATTTCATTATATATTTCCCATGGAAATGGAAATGATTTTAAATAAGAGGCTGTCATTTTCAGTAATTACTGCTGGCATAGTTTTGGGAGAGTTGATTTCTTGGTTGCATTAAAGTGTATATGTATTTCTTCACTAAAGGCTATTACCTGTTCAGTAATTTGATAGTTTTTCATTAAAAATAATCTTTTCCATAATTAGTTTCATTTTTTATTGGGGGGGGGTGAGAAACATCGATGTATGAGAGAAACATCCATCAGTTGCCTCCCGTACGTTGAACCCACAACCTAGGTATGTGCCCTGACTGGGAATCCAATTGGCAGCCTTCCTGTGCACAAGACAATGCTCCAACCAATTGAGCCACCCAGCAAGGGTAGTTTTCTCATTTTTTAATCTATGTTTTGTGCTTGAGAACATTTAAAAGTCACAATGACTTGTTCAAGGCCACAGTCCAAGTACACACACAGATCAGGACTAAAATCAAAGTTCTAACTCTCAGGGCCCATTTCAACACCTGAAGTCATCCCCTGTTAAACGGCCAGTATCTGATAGCCTTGGACTTTTAAGGGCTTTTGCTTCCTCTTTGTGTTTTCAATAAATGCCTGCTCAGTACAGTACAAGACATGAAGAAATTAACGATACTGATGTGGCCCCTATTCTGAGGAGCTCACAGGCTATTAAAACAGACATTAAACAGATGAATATATCACAAGAAGCAGAATTAAGTGCTGTTGAGGAGGACTGCCTGAGAAGATGACCAAGGATGCCAGTCAAGGATATCTACTCTGAGCAAGTGACATTTAATCTGGGACCTGGAGATGAGTAGAGGTGTGTTAACGGGAGGATGGGGAAGGGCAGATACTGTGTGGGGAGGCAGGCTGTGCAGAGACCTTGAGTGCTAAAGAGCTTAGCACATTCCAGGACCTATAAGAAGGCAGAGATTGTTTTCTGTGTTTAGTCCAAGCGTCATTGAAAAGCCCCTCATCCCTGTCTTCTCCTCTTCCAGCCACTGTCCACATGCAAAGAAAGGCTCTACAACCTCAGCTGCCAACTAATTTACAAAAGAAAAGACAGACAGTCATCACTGATCCCTGCAGCTCTTTAAAAAGATCTGGAGCTTCCTGGGCCTCCAGGAGAATTTGGTTTACTAAAGCTCCACACTGCTATTTCTTTGGGAAAATAAAAGAGCAAGGGAGGTGAGAGAGAGGGGCATAACTTATCCCCCAGTTCATTGTTGCCTAACTTTACTTGCTAGCACAGAGAAGTTACACACTGGGAAGTGTTGAACAAGCCTTACTTTGCATTGAAGTATCTTATGAATGTGATTGTTTTATCTCTGTTTCCTCTCTTCCTTCAAACAAAGATTAAAAGCAATCTACTTATAAAACTATCGAATGAGCATATATAAAATTTGGTTAAGCAAATCCAAGGACTTTTTTGCTTAACCTGGTCAGTATTATTTTGTGGATGCTGATAACCCACAATTTAAACCATTAATTTTTTTATTTTTTATTTTTTTACTGTTGGATGTTGCCAAGCTAGCCACTGGATTAAACAACCCTGTAATTGTTATATCAAGTGTTCCTAACACATTCTCATGTTGGGGGTTTGCAGGGAGAGAGAGACCATTTCTTCGTTCATTTCTTCATGCCTTTCACCATAGTGACCAGCCGAGATGGTCCTTTTTTAAGAGTGTGGAAACCTTTTCCAAAAGGCTCCCGCCATCCTCCCTTATAGTCACATTGTCTAGAGTTGTGTCAGATGATTGTGCCCAAACTGTCCAGTGGGCAGGTAGATTCAGACCTTCACAATTGGCTTAGATTAGCGATTTTCAACCTTTTCCCTCATGGCGCACACAAACTAATTACTAATATTCTGCAGCATACCAAAAAATGTATTTTTTGCTGATCTGACAAAAAAATTTATCTAATTTTGATTCATTCACACCAGATGGCTATTGTTGTGTTGGCTGTTATCATTTTTTAATTTGACAATCTAAGGCAGCGGTTCTCAACCTGTGGGTCTCGACCCCTTTGGCAGTCGATCGACCTTTTCACAGGGGTCGCCTAAGACCATCCTGCATATCAGCTATTTACATTACGATTCGTAACAATAGCAACATTACAGTTATGAAGTAGCAACGAAAATAATTTTATGGTTGGGTCACAACATGAGGAACTGTATTTAAAGGGCCAGAAGGTTGAGAACCACTGATCTAAGGGAAAAAAGGTCACTGTTCCTGACTTAATAGTCAGGTATTGCATGTTTTAAAAATTCTTGCAGCACACCAGTAGAAAATCATGGCTTAGATCCATGAAGACTGACAACATGGGGCTGGAGAGTGACCAGTCTCCCCGGAGGCTGACCACTTGGGGCTTTGTTGTGAAGGAAGGAGACAAAGAAGGGGCATCAGGGAATGGGCAACCAACATTCTCAGCCACAGCAGGTTTAGGGTGGAGCCTGGGAACTTGCCTCTAATAAATACTTCAGGTATTGCCTGGTGGTACTGGTGAAGTGAGCACTTGGGTTTGAATCCTGACTCTTTCTTTACCAGCTCTGTGACCTTAGGTAAATTATCATGTTTAACTTTTCTACATTTTCTCAGTGATTAAAAAAAAAAAAAATGAGGCTAAAGATACCTACCTCGCCCGGCTGGTGTGGCTCAGTGGTTGAGCATCAATCCGTGAACTAAGTGGTTGCTGGTTTGATTCCCAGTCAAGGCACATGCCTGGGTGGCTGGCTTGATCCCTAGTAGGTGTGCAGGAAGCAGCGATTCATGTTTCTCTCATTGATGTTTTTATCTCTCTACTCCTCCCTTCCTCTATCTAAAATCAATAAAGACCTATTAAAAAAATAAAACTAGACTTAAAAAATAAGATGCCTACCTCAGAGATAACATGAGATGTAAGATAATACACAGGCCTGTTCTTTAATCCCAATAAGATCTAATCTGCATAGGGACAGGGTGTTAATAAGGGCCCCTCAGCACTCTGCACAATTCATTTACCTCACAGTTTACTAGGGCTGACGGGGATAATGCTCCAAAACTGCGTCTAAACCAGTGGTTCTCAACCTTCCTAATGCCGTGACCCTTTAATATAGTTCCTCATGTTGTGGTGACCCCCAACCATAAAATTATTTTCATTGCTACTTCATAACTGTAATTTTGCTACTGCTATGAATCGTCATGTAAATATCTGATATGCAGGATGTATTTTCATTGTTACAAATTGAACATAATTAAAGCATAGTGATTAATCACAAAACAATATGTAATTATATATGTGTTTTCCAATGGTCTTAGGCGACCCCTGTGAAAGGGTCGTTCGACCCCCAAAGGGTCGTGACCCACAGGTTGAGAACCGCTGGTCTAAACTTCGGGCTAGCAGTATATGGTGAATGAGACACCTGCGCTGGAGCAGCTCACAGTCTAAGGAGGCAGGAGGTGCGCATACACCCTGTGCAGTGAGAGCAGATTCGAATATTTCAAGCTGTGAAGTGATAGTATCAAAAGGTATAGAAGGATTGCAGTAATGAAAAGAATTCATTGTAGTGTTCATAATGGAGCCATATGTCCGAGTAGATATCTAATCCAAGCAAGAGATCACTTGTGGGCTGAGGGAAGAGAATGGGGAAAAATGGATGAACTCTGGAGAGAATTTAAAGATTGAGTATGCTGGTTTGGGGAATCAAAAGATAAGTCTGATCCAGAAATACAGATTTAACAGTCACTCCTGTCACAGCATTAGTGATGAAGCCAGGGATGTAAGTGAGAGCACATTTAGTGAGTGATATTAAAGACGCATTGGTAGTATCCCTGGTGTTTTATGCTGTTCACATCAGTGTGCATGAGGAATGAAGAAATGAAATGTTGATTCTTTTTTTCTGCTTGGCAGCTCTCTCTTCTGTGACTTTTTTATTTCCTCATAATGATGAGAGTCATGTTGCTTTTCCTTTAGATGAAACTTTCTTTTACTTTATGGATGGAGGGCTGTGGCTGTTGCAGAGAAAGACCACACCCATGACCCTTACCATCACAGTGATGCAAAGCGTTGACTTTGCTGTCGGACTCTGGGGGCTTAGTTCTGGCTCCTTTTTGGTCCTGGCTCCATTGTGTATCAGTCATGTAAAATTAAGTACGTTTCTTAATCTTTATAAACCTCATTTTCTTCTCCTGCAAAATGAAAATAATATTATCTCCACTTATTATAACTGCATTTCCTTTCCTTTGTTCAAATAGAGAGACAACCAGGAGGCAAATAGAAGGAGCAGGAGAAGCTTACATCTCAAGTAATATGACATGTTAGTGACTAAAGCTGGAATACCAACATATTGTGTACTTGAAATGATAGGCTGGCATTTACCACAGGCAATGCCTGTCTCACAGTACTTTCTGTAGAAACTGTGTTTCTGTAGAAACCTCGTGATTGAACAGACACATTCTCGATGAGAGGGATTCCCTCATCCAAAGGCCACCACATTGAGCCGGATCACACCGTGGGCTTATGCTAGCAGTGTGGCTCCTACCTTCGTACTGTCAATGCATCACAGTGTGTCAGACCTCAGAGGCCTCCGAAGTCATCAGTACAGCCTTGGCTGAGGAACCTCGTGGGAAGGAGCTGCAGAGGCTTAGCCAGAAATGGCCAGGCAGCCTTGGGAGCAAGCACTGCGCACTGGCTGCTTCCAAATTGTTCTAGTTCTGTGTTTGGGATGCTGAAGAGATTTCCCTGCTAGAAAGAACAGGAAAAAAAAATATTAAAAGCCTTGTATGAGAATTTCCTTTTTAATATACTAGGCATATTTCTTACAAACAAACCATTTACTTTCCTTGTCCAAGCCAGGGCTAGCCCCCTCTCACCGAAGCTGTTCAGCACAGTGGTGCTGAGCAAAGCAGAGTGAGATGGAGGAAATGCAGGGAGCAGCAGTAGGAGCTCAGGGAAGCTCTGGAGAGCTTTGCTGTGAAGAATCCAGCTTACAGGCATGTGCTTTTACTCACATGTACATGGTAAGCCATTTCGATGATGCGGTCACATCAGCTCTCTCTCACCCTCTCTAAGCATTTCTTTTTCTGGGGTTTGAAGCAGCTATTTGAGGAGGAAAGCAATTTGATGGCAGGGGCTCCTTTGAGCTTTGGGAATTGGGACTCAGAAGCTCAGCTGGTAATGGAAAACACACTGCGAATGTTTTATTCAGTAATGCATCTATAACATTGAACAGAATCCAAATACATAAATCACTTATACAATAGCTGTTACAAGCTGCCTTCCAGCATTTCAGAACTCTGGCAGCCAGAATTGCTCACAAAGTCCTCTATTGCCATCTGCTGGTAGAATGTTTTATTATGTTGTTAAATCCTACTCTATTGTACTTTTATTTCCCTTCTGCCTCTCCATAGTCTTTTTGGGACTCAGGTTTTTCTAGTGTAAAATTTGCTGCCACCAAAAGTGAAATGCTCTGTGTTTTTGATGATTGCCAAGGAGAACTATAATACTCTTTAAAATTCTGTCTTGACAGGATAGGCAGAGGTGACAAAGCCAGTTTCTTCATCTTGGCTTTTAACCAGATCTGTGTGCATATCTAGGCACTCTGAGACCAGGCCTCAGACCAGCCTGCATCTCAAGGCCAAGGACACAATACTCAGTTGGTCTTTGGAATGGGTCCTGTTATCACAGCTGTCTACCTCTCAATGTTGTATATCACAGTCACCCATATATTACATCAAAGAAGTGGGAATTATTAGTATTCTCAGTAAAATCAGCCCATCAATCCCATGAGCTCATCTGATTTACAGTAGAGAAACCTTACCCTGGAGGTTGCCATGAGTCACCGGAGCCACATGGTAAACTTGGTCACCTATATGAGACATAGTTGAATAATTGTTGAGTAACTTTTTGACATCAGTTCAAAATGGCATTATATCCTGAATGACAGAGGAGTGCCAGAAGGCACCAGGCTTTCCTCCAAACCAAAGATATTCCGTATGGCCAAGTGTCTTGGAACACTAACAAATGTCACCTTCACAGGCGAGTTGTCAGCATCACCCATGAGCCATTCTGAACTTGAAGGGTTATTGTAGTCTCACCACCTCTAAAACAATACGTGTGTCATCTCAGCTTCTTGAAGTTTCATGAAAGGCTGGATGGAGAATATCCAAAGTGCAGTTACCTGGCTTTTCAGAGACTGAGGAGTGCTGACGGAACATGGGCCACTGTGTCTGTGATGCAGCCACAATACAGATGTTCTGTGAAACATCTGCAGCAGGCAGGCAGGCTGAGGGGGCCATAGCTGGAGATTACAGTGCTCTTGTTAGGCAAAAGCATTCCAAAAATGAAATTCAAAGCAGAGTTGCTAAAGCATATTGGACTCCTTAAATCTGGGCATGGTTGTAAACCCCCAAAAGATGTTGTCATTTAACATCAGCTCCTAATACAAAGGTTAAGCATGGGGGAGGGGGAATCATGTTTCACATTTAGAGGAAAAATTAAAAAGCAGAGACATTTCTCTTTAATCATAACATACCAAAGGGAATGTGGAATGGTAGAAGAGTAGAAATGAAAACCAAGAAATTTAACAAGGACTATAAACCCAAGAATTTCACATATTATTTATTTACTAGAGAACCCAGTGCACGAGATTTGTGCACTGCGGGTGGTCCCTCAGCCCGGCCTGTGCCCTCTCGAAATCTGGGACCCCTTGGGGGATGTCCGCCTGCCAGGGATCTGGCCTAAGCCGTCAGTCAGACATCCCTCTCACAGTCTGGGGCTCTTGCAGTCCAGGACTCCTCGTGCCTTACCACCTGCCTGCAACAGGCAGGAGAGGCTCCCGCCACGCCGCTGCGCTCACCAGCCATGAGCTTGGCTTCTGACTGAGCGGCGCTCCCTCTGTGAGAGCGCACTGAGCACCAGGGGGCAGCTCCTGCATTGAGCATCTGCCCCCTGGTGGTCAGTGCACATCATAGCGACCGGTCGTTCCACCGTTTGGTTGATTTGCATATTAGGGTTTTATTATATAGGATTGCTGCACAATTAATCACCTCCAAAGTAGTGACTTAAAACAACAATCTTCATTATTACCACTCCCAGCTTCTGGAGGCCAGGAATTCAGGCTGGGCATGTCTCATGGAGAGTGCTCTCAGGGACAAGGCCTCGGCCTGAAGAATCAAAGTTGGGCCTGGAATCACCTCACTCACCCACTTGTCTGGCAGTTGATGCTGGCTGTCCGCTGGGGCCTGGCTGGTGTTGTCAGCAGCACATGCACACATGGCCTTGCCTGGGCCTCCTCAGCACATGGTGGCTGGATTCCAAGGACAAGAGTCCCAAAAGAGAGCCAGGCAGAAGTCATATTGCCTTTCTGGCTTAGCCAGAGAAGCCATACCATGTCACTTCCACTGTCCAGCTGTATAGGCCAAGGTAGTTACAGAACCTGCCCAGGTTTGAGGAGGGGGAACTGAAATTCCTCCTCTCAGTGGAGAAGTGTCAAGTCATGCTGTAAGTCGAGCATGTGTGGTGGCAGTGCTGTCTTTGGGAAATACCACCTGCCATGCCTATCTCATTGTGTCTAACCCCATCTCCACACGTGTACTGCAACAGAATATAGCATGTTGTAGGCCCTCAGCGACCATTAGAGGGGTTTGTGATAGATGAATGGGGGGATCTACTTCTTATTGTCTTCAACTTGCATTTGGGCCTGATCTTAAACTTTGGGTCAGTTTCCTCTCCAGGGAAACAGAAAATAAATCAGTGATTATTCGAGTGTGTTTTTAATATCCTGATACACATGCTCTGGTGGTAGTGGGTTCGCTGCAGTAGTAATTCTGAATGAGGAGGTGATGGTGAAAGTTTTGAAAAGCCCCCTCAAACTTTTTAATTTTCCTCTCCACTTTGAGAATTCTAAGTTAAACAATCCCTAAAATTCCTTCTAGCTCTGATCTCTGAGCACTGGGACTCTGGACACATTTCTTGGGCCCTTTGGGTTCTAGCTTCCTGCTCTAAAATGAAAGGCCTATTAAATTATCTGATAAACTTTTTTCAGCTTCCAAATGTTTGGTTTTACTCTTCATTTGGACATGATGAGGTTCCTTCGTTCACACTAGTTCTGCTTGGCTATATGGATGCTTGAGACTACACAGAAGTCCTGTGTGTTTACAAGTCCCTGCCCAATTTATGGTTATGGAAATGTTTTCCTGTCTGTGGGATGATAAAATCACACAGTGGCTTTTGTGGTAGGAGCCTTGGAAATCATCAACTCTCATTTTACAGAGAGAAACCAAGTGATTTGCCCGAGGTCAGAGGGTATATTAGTTAGGGTTCTCCAGAGGAACAACCAATTGGATATAAAAGGATTTATTATGAGGAATTGCTCACTAGATTATGGAGGCTGAGCAGTCCCACAGCCTACAAGCTATGGACCCTAGAAAGCCAGTGGTGCAATTCAGTCTGAGTCCAAAGGCCTGAGAAGCAGGGCAGCTGATGATACAGATCCCATCCAAGGACAGGAGAAGAGGAGACAAGGTGTCCCAGCAATTAGGGGAAAAGCAGCAAATTCTTCCTTCCTCCTCCTGTGGGTCTATTCAGGCCCTCAGCACTGTGGAGTGCCAGCTAATACCCGGAAATACTGTCACAGACACACTCAGATTCCGTTTTTAATCTGGGCATCTCTTGGCCCACTCAAACTGACACATAAAAGTAACCACCACAAAAGGCAGGTTAGTAGCCATTAAGGCATCACCTAAGGCAGCGTATTTTACTCTTTGTGTGATAGCATCCTTTTAATAGAAAAAATGTGAAGGAGGACCTTAGATCTCAACACCACCCCATCTGTGCCGTCTCCATTCAGGGAAGGGCCTGTACCCTAGACAGTGCCGTCTTCTTTTTAATTTCACAAATGGGACAAATGTGCGGTTATCCTTAAACCTATAGAATTTTCAGACATGAAAAGTCTAGATTAAAAAACAAAGACCAAACCATTTATAACCAAAGGTAATCATGATTACACATGGAGATTTTTGGTATGATATCTACGGAGAGCAACAATGCTTGAATCATACAGAACTCAATGTCTTAAATACAAGTCAATAGGCTTTTTAATCTACTAGGTTAATTAGGAGGTGGCAGGCGGCCTAAGGAAAACTGAGCTGCTATATCACGGCATGGGAAAAAGGAAAGGCTCCAAATTTTGGGTTAAATTTGCATTACTCTTTTTTATTTTTAATTGTGGTAAGATACACATAACAAAGTTTACCATCTTAACCATTTTTAAGTACACGTGTTACATTTTTGCAGGATCTTACTGAGTGAATAAAATCATAAGAAATGACAAGCAAGGAAATGTTAGGCCTCACGTGTGCAAATCAAGGTAACTTTTCTAAGCCAAATTCATGCTCCATAAAGGCCCTCAGACACAAATTGAAAATACCTGTAAAACACCATGAAATGCTTTTACTTTGGAAAATACTCAGAGTACATCATGGGTTGTCTAAACCTACATGTTGGTCTCCTTCAGTGCTAAAGCCCTATGTGATTTGGATGTACTCATACATTAAATTCCCCTTCCTCTAAACATTTTTTAAGTTTTCTCAACTTTTAGTTAAGCTTTGTTTTTTCTAAAATGTATCTTGTGTAATATTAAGCACAATTATGTCAAAAGTGTCATAACCATTAAAGCACTACTTGTCTACTTGTTTTAAAGCTCAGCACTTACTTTTACATAATACTTCTCAGTCTCCTAACTCCAGTTTATATTTTTTAGGTACAGCTGACACGTCATGAATTGAATT